GGCAAGACATGGGTGGCAGTAGCTCAGTTGGTAGAGCATTCGCCCACTGATCTGAAGGTTGATGGTTCAAATCCATAAACATCACAGGTTGAGCGGTCAGATCCACTGACCCACAGGTTGGCTGGTGTCATTCCAGCTCCCACAGATGAATGCTGTCATTGTGTCCTTGGGCAAGACACTTAACCCACCTTGCCCACAGTGTCTGCATACACTGGTGTGTGAATGGGTGAGTGGTTCCTTGTTGTAAAGCACTTTTAGTGCCTTGAAGGTGGAAAAGTGCTATAGAAAAATGTGACCATTTACCATTTAAGGACACAACAACAGTTATTCCCACTGGCAACCCACTGTGGCTCCTGATATTCCTAGTGGTCTCCCATCCAAGTACTAACCAGGCCCGGCCTTGCTTTAGCTTCTGAGATCTGATGGGATCAGGCTTTTACAAGCCGATATGACCACGCCGGTATGGAACATATGATTTTACCCCCCTACACTTGGGGACAATCTTTCAACCAAAAATATTCTTTTGGCTTGTAATTTAGCCAAGATAACCTTGGTACCAGTAGGTACCAGTATAGTTATTATAGTTATTAGTTGTTGTTTTTTCCCTCTACACATCTGGCACTTACAGGCAGTGTAGGCTCCCTTGAACTCGACTTGAAATGCTTAAGTCGGATGTATAAAGGTACTTGTATGTATTCCATAAATCACATATAGTATTAGAATGTTTCATTGTTTCATGTTTAATTTCTTAGTATTTTAACACTTAACACTAAAATGTCCTGTGGTGTGACTAGCACTTTTCTTAAATAAAATTTAGAGTCTTTTGTGTCAGGGACGTTCAATAAAGGTGCTGACACAGAGATAAGCATGTAAACATTATTTGATAATCTTACACCTTTATTGTCACTTTAAAATAAAAAAATATGCAAACAGTTTAATGTTGTAATTTAAAGTCATGCAGTGTGACATGAAAAATCACATATTTAAAAAAGTAGATTGAGCTCATTTATGCACCAATAGTTCTTGAGTTAAAGGTGCATCACATGCTTGTTTCTATGGATATGTTATTGCCCTGCCTGGAATGTTCCCCAGTATGATATTACTGTAAATAGCTCTACTTTACATTTATTCAATTACAGGTGTTTTTTGTTTGTTTTTTTTATGCTAAAAACAAGAATTCTGATTGTGAGGAAGGTCGCCTCTCCACAGCTCGGACCTGTAACTTGTTCTGATCTCCATGAAAATAGAAAGGTTTAATACTATACTGTAAAACATTACAGACGAAGCAATAACATCTCCGTGGAGAAAAGCATCTGACTAGCCCTACACCAGAAGTTACACAATGAACCTTTAAGGGTTTTTAACAAATTTGATAATTATAATTTTTTTATTTTTGTCAAATCCAACATTTCTGGAAAACTTTGAACATGCGCCTGTTTGATGTCCTGGAGTGTGACAGCTGTATTTCCTTAGAACATTACAACTCTAATTGTTGAAAATATATTCTTTAAGATGGGACAGTTACATAATTATTAAACTAACACTACAAACATGTTGACAAATTAAAATGTTTTTTAATAATTCAAGAGGTAATTGGTATGGCAAATTTGTAGTGTATGTCCAATGGAGTAACAAGAATCACACTGCAGGGCATGTTAAAATGTCGAAAATTAAAAGAATTACACAAAACATTATGTGATACGTTTGTGAAAAAGACAGTTGTTATAGAACTGATTTTTTGGATTTTGCTACAAAATCACATGAAAAAAGGTGTTACACCCTCAAACCCATAATGTACCCATAATGTCAGTGTGTGTAAAAACCCCCAGTTGTCCAGGTAGAATCCATGGCAAAGGAGAAATTCAATTTGTCAGATGGACAAATGTTTATTTACTTTGAAGACGTTTCGCAGCTCATCCAAGCTGCTTCTTCAGTTCTGGTCAGACACTGATGGACACTTCCTTATATCTGCCTGCTACACTGAAACTACTCTAGAACTAACACCCTACTTGTTTACAGTTTCTGTTGGTTAGCTAGGCCTGTTCATCTGTATTGAAGTAAGGGGACATATTAACATAATCAGACAGGACCATAATGAGTGTTTGAGGCCTCCATTTCTGTTCAAGGAAGGATTCTCTTTCTTAACAAAAAATAGCCTCTTTAACTCCCCTCTCAAACCAATTCTTTTCTCTGGCTAAGATCTACACCTCATTATCCTCAAAGGAGTGCCCCATGGCTTTTAGGTGGAGATTTACAGCAGACTGAGGTTCACTATGGCTCTCTCATGGTACATCCTCTTGTGAAGTAGCTGTTTTGTTTCGCCAGTGTAGTGCTTGCTGCAGTCTTCACTACACTGAATGGAGTAGACATCATTGCTTTGTTTGTGGCTCAGTGTTTCGTTCTTTGGGTGGACCAGTTTCTATCTTAAAGTGTTTGTAGGTGTGAAATAGACTGGGATTTCATGTTGTCTAGAGGATTCAAAATCTTGTTTTTACAGCTATGGGGCTTTTATGGAACCACAGTGAATGGTTTGGGTCAAATGTTGCTTAGCTGAGTAGGGCCACTTGCCTCATGCTTGCAATATTGCTTTGCAAGTACATTTTTCTCTTGACTTCTTTTAATTCTAACCAGAGAATGTTGTGTTGTTGTACAGAACGGAAGTCAGTGATATGAACCTAATGTTAGTACTACTTCAGTAGTGTACTTTGCCTACTTAGAATGTGAAGGCCAAATTCTGGTATTTTACCTTGTGATACAATAGAGGCATAATTTGTTTTTCAAATGTATTACTATTTGTTGTTACATTTCTTTTCAACCACAAAGTTGAGACCACTGTCACTTATGTATGCTCCCTTCCCCCTTTGCTGCATGATCACATGTTATCTACTCATGAAAACCAGATGGGAAGGTAGCGGAGGAACAACTAGGTGGTTACTTCATTGTAAAATACAAACATGAGAAATGTTTTTAGACTTCTCTACATCACAAATAAATCCTAGTTTTTGTTTTGTTGTAGTGATCAAGCTACAGTGAAACTAAGAAAGTACAGGAATTCTTTTGACTGTAGGATTCTTGAGATGTGAACTTGCTGAAGCTTTGGGCTGTCCAGTCTGAATCAGCAGGATGGGGTTTTCCTGTGAGGTTTTTGAAACCATGCTGCATCAGGTTTTTTTGGGAGAGGTTAGATTATGGATTGTCCACCTTTTTTGCACCTGTATTTTTATCTTCAATGCCAAAACTGGCAATGTGACCCATACAATGGAAAAAGTATTAGATATTGACCCATCTCCAAAGCTGGCACACAAAAAAATACAAATAACCCTTTGTAGGCATGGGTAGGGATCTGAATACACGCTCAATTCTGGAATCATTACAATGATTTAAAGTTAGCTAATGGGTTAAGATAGGTTAAGGTTATGCAAGTCACTATAGTAGCAACCCAGCTTTTTTTAATAAAGTAGGCATGTCAAGTGATAAAAAACAATGTGTTGATGATCTGATCAGAAAAACTAAAGTAGTTCTTTGGCGTGAACCCTCACCTTCTTGTTAAAAATAGTCTGTGTTACTACCTCACACAGGTTTTGTATATTTCCCGTGTCGTTGTAGTCTTTAATCATGGAACTGTTGGAATAAACAAAAGCTGACCACCTGCAGAGCTTAAACCTGTGGGCTTGTATTCTGTAGTCTTTCATTTTGTTCTCGTTTTTGCATTTGTACTAGGGCTAGGGTAGAGCCTTAACTGATGAAAACCATGTGTAACCTATATAACCACTATAGTTTCCACACAAATGCTGAGCTTCTTCATCCCACATTCTTAATATCAGAGAAACGTCCCTCTTCTGATTCATGCTCGGGTTAGTTTACTTGACGTGATGAATTAAAGCCTTTTTGCTATTAAGAGCACAATAGAAATGAACAGGACTTCCCCTGAGAGGATGTTTGTATGTTAAGTGGCAAAGGAAATGTCCAGCAAGACTGTGGGCCTGTTCTGTTTGACATGATGCTGTTACTCGTCTGGTTACTGGTAGCATGGTTTGCTTAAGTTTGTAAGTACGTAAACTGACTGATATGCATTGCATTGTAGGTTGTATGTCTGCTATATTAGGATTTTAAGAAGCTAAAAAGGAACCAGGGTATTGTTTGCAGGTTTGTCAGACTGGGGATAATGTGTACTTGTTTACTCAGGGCCCATTGCAGCAAAGGTGTATGTGTGAAATGTCAGGCATCTGCACTGTCATTGGTGTGTACTATTGTCACTATACGAAAAGCTAATCCATACTTTCAAATGAACATCTAGTTTAAGTACAAATTTTAGTATCTTGAGTTAGTTTTGTTTAACAACAGTCATTTTACATGGAGAGGACTAATCTCTCTCTTTGCAGTTGTGAAGTATGTGAGAGAAATTGTGCTGATGATGCTACATTTCTTTTCTCTAGGCTATAGAATCAGCTGGGAAAGACAACTGACTTGTATGAAAAGAA